AAAAAAAAAAAAAAAAAAAGTCAATATTCCTGTTCAAAGGATACCATACAGGAAGAATTCTCTTCCATTACACATTTGGGAAGGGGAGTTGTTTAGATCTACTCTGTCCTACCATTAACTGGATAAGACCTAGCTACAGTAAATAAGGCAATCTAATTTTCTCATTCTACCCAGATAAACGCTAGTTGATTCTGAATGCACTCTGATAGATGTGCTCAGAGCAATCTCTGATCAAATACCAGACCCTTCCATGGCCCCGTCAAGTCGATGTTGATATACAAAGTGAACAGTCTACACATGCTATCCGCCAATGTCCTGGAGCGCTCCTCCTTTTACCACTCATCTTCCAAGGACTATCTTTTCCGGAAGCTGTCCTTCATAGATTTCTTCCTACTCTCAACTGCCTGTAGCACCCAGAGCCAAGCCATGTCTGAGTCCAGGGCAAGTTGGTGTATGAGACTAGCATTTACCTAGCTGGCTATTTTTGGTAACATCCAACCACATTTAGGATTTTTTTTTTTTGGTGGGGGGAGGGTAACATACAACCACAGATAGGATTTTTGTCATATTTTTCTGTAGATCTCCCTAAATCCTAGCTAACTAATAATTTTATTTTTTCAATTAAGTTCAGAAAATATTTACTTACCTCTGTATTTTTACTAAGAAGATCATTCTTTGGTTGTTGTTGTTCTTTTTTGAGACAGGGTTTCTCTGTATAGCTTTGGAGCCTTTCCTGGAACTCACTCTGTAGCCCAGGCTGGCCTCAAACTCACAGAGATCCACCTGCCTCTGCCTCCTGAGTCCTGGGATTAAAGGCGTGCGCCTTTCCTGGAACTCACTTGGTAGCCCAGGCTGGCCTTGAACTCACAGAGATCCGCCTGGCTCTGCCTCCCGAGTGCTGGGACTAAAGGCATGCGCCACCACCGCCTGGCCTTGACTTTTTTTTTTAAATGTCTTTTGCCTCAAACTGGACCACAGCCCTTTATGGATCTTGAACGTAGCAGCCTTCAGGCTGAGCCAACTCCATCAGCTTGACTGGTTATCTGATCTTCGGGTTTGAACTAAATGATTGGCTTTCCTAGGTCTCTGTTTATTAGTTCACCTAGTATATCTTGAGACTTGCCAGCCCCTGTATTACATGAATCAATTCTTTGTAATAAACATAGCATAGAGTTGTATATGTATACCTATGCTCCATTGGCTCTATTTCAATGAGAACAGAACTAATACATTTTAGTATTGTAATTGTGTACACACTTTTCAGAACAAATCAGTGTTCAACCTGTTTGTATGACATGAAGGACATGTTATGGAGATTTAAGATGTAGTTGATGTGAGAGAGTGGAGGAAGATGAGGAAAAGCATTTGCACTAATGTGCTCTTAATATAGCCCATTTTGGAGATGATCACTATCTCATCCGTCACTTCTGGATGTGACAGTTTCACTGAGCTGGAATTTGCTAGAGCATTTTGAAATTTTAATTCCAAGGTGCATTTTTTGTAATTATTTGTTAAAAACAAAGCAAAGCAAAGCAAAAAAAAAGTACTCAGACTCTACCAGAGTAAAAGGTAGATCAGAAGAAGTCAACTGCTTTACGTTATTCAAGTAGAACCCTGAAATCAGGCTTTCTCTGGAGGTGGTAGGCAAAGAAGTGACTAATGCCGGAAATCCAAACAGCCAAGGTTCTGTGAAGAAGAAAGAGATCGGGCCCACAAGCTACTGAGAGAAAAGAGTGGCACACATAAGCGATGTACCTAGGAAGGACAGCTTTTTGGAAACAAGTAACAGAAATGAACGATTTGCCTTCAGCTAAGACGATTTGAAGAAAAAAAGATATTTTAGATAAAAAATGAAACTGTATGTGAACAAAATAAAAACGATGCTAAAACACCTATGGTCAAATAAACAACCTCCAGAACACCATTACAGAAAATAAAATGATGAAAGTTGTAATAATGAAAGGAAGTGGCAGCCAAGGAATTAAATAATGACCATGAGTTTCTAGTAAGTAATAACATGGTTATGCTCATGTACTGAACAGAACCAGTACCCTATGAGTAAGAAATGAATTCTTTTGTTGTCTGAGACATTCTACTGTTGAACACAATGTACAAAGTGCACAGTAGACACAAAGTCCTTAGGTTTAAATTGACTATCAATAATATCTTTGGGTGACAGTTTTTGTGTTGTTGGTTTTTTTCTCCCAATGTACATATTCTATATCAACAGCTTGTTCTGAGGACAAAGACAGTAAGGCCGGCAAATATGGAGATACTTTGAAAATTAGTCACATACTAACTCAAGAAATTTGTGGCGATGACATTTCCTTTTCAAAAATCAGCTTTTAAAAATAGCTTATGTATTCATGTTCCCAAACTCAATACTGGGTTCTATGTTTATTTTATAATTTCTAAGAAAGTAATGTGGTTCAGAATACTAGACCGTGTCCTGGCAATTTGAAATTACTAGTGGGCATATTTGTGCCTTAGATGTTTTCAATAAAGTTAACTAAAAGCGATGTTGTCATAGTGGACAAAGGGAAAACTACCCCACAGGGAGATTCCTTCCAAGCATTTAGGAATGATTTGGCTGGTACTATTCCAAGGAGATCTCTGAGTAAAGAGCCATGCTTACTTAGGGACGAGAAGACCGACTCTCTGCATCCCATGCTTACTTAGGGATGAGAAGACCGACTCTCTGCATCCCTATTTGTTCTTTCTTCTGCAGGCCCATTTCTTTGGCTTCCACCATGAAATGCCTTCAAGCCTTTTGACTGAAATGGATGCTTTGCCAATGTGAAGATGTTGGTAGGTTCTTTCTCAGTATGCTTAAATATGCATAAAATAGAATTACAAAAGAAATCAATTATAGAGAAATCTTCTAAACCCTAAAAAGAACAACTTAAATACTTGTTTACACAATATGTTTATTTAAAAAAAAATAAACAAGGATGTGTCCCAATACTGCCCTTGTAGCAAGTAGTTGACAAGTGTAAACTACATTTCAAGATATGTGTAATGGCTCTACAGTGACAGGAAACTCACTGTCATTTCTCAGGACAAGGCCCCGGGTGTTACTAACACCATAGTTCTGTGTTGCCTTCAATGATGATCGAAGAAAATACTGCATTTGAGTTTGAGGGTCTCAAGTTAGAGGTTAGTTTTTGGTTTTGTTTCCCATCTCCTATTCAAGTTCATGAACCTTCTTAATTCTGTCCTTCTGACCAAAACAAGCAGTAAGTTGTTTTCCATTGCTATCTTACTGGTTTCCTTCCTCCAGCTAAGGTTCGAGCTTGTGTGGGGTCTAGACAAAGGATGAGAGAGACGAGTGCTTGCTAAGCATAAGAAGAAGGACAAAGTGTCAGCACACGAGAGGTACCATACGAGCCTTGCAGGCCTTGGGGTGTGTATGCGGCAGATATATAGTTGAAATATAGGAGTGTAAGCGTAACCCCATTGTGCTGTTCTCATTGCATTCAATCCTAAGCTTTTTCTAATTCTCTGTGCACCTTTCACTAAACAGGCAAAGGGGCTTTCAACACACTGTCCTGGGTACCAGTGGCTCACTAGGAGGTAGACTTTGAAAAAGCTGGAGTAGAAAAGAATTAAGCTCACTGGATTTTCCCCAGTGATGAAAACTCAGAGTAATGAGGGCTTGGGAGATGAATGGACGCTGAAAGAGAACTCATCTCTCACTTAATTTTTATGTAGTTTCTTCTATCTATTATGACACAGAGTTTAGATTTGGATAATCTATTCTTTCAGTCAAGAGAGGTTCTTCACTGAGAGAAAACATTAAAAACCAAACATTCAGAGAGGGTTTGATCTTACTTGGAATGTTTGACTAAGAGAATTTAAGATTTCATTAAATTAAAAAAAGCATATTGTACAAGTTAATGTTTTCTGTTTAAAGGCAACAAAAGTCAATTAAGTTTTAGAAAGAGGAATTTAGTGGAAGAATGTGGAACAGCTCTCAGTGTATTAGAAATGGAAGAACACTCAGACCCCCTGAGACCAAGAAGCAGGGCAGTGACAAAGATGTGATCAGAGAAGAGCGTGATCTCTTTGGGAAGGTGTAACCAAAGACAGCACCAACCATGCCTGTCCCTGGGCCAGACTCATAAGCTTCTACACGATTGGTCCTCAGAAGTGACAGTAGGGTTGGGGAGGCAATGCCAACTCACCTCTTCGCATCTTGATCTGTAATTCAGAAAAACCAAGGAGGATGCAGATGAGTGAACCCCATAAAAACCAGTAAGGGAAAGTAGGAGTAGACCAGCAAAAACAGAACATATTTGTCACAGACAATAATATTTTCTCGAGGAAGAAAAAAGGTCATCTCTATGTTGGCTTGTGTGATCCAGTGTTGCAGACATTTTTTCTGAATACTTCCATTAGATGCTCAAATATTACTTTCAGCTAAAGGCCAGGATACACTTTATTATATAACAGCTAACAAGCTTAGATGACTATATGCTTATTGTAAGTCATTTTGCAATTTTATAATGATTTAAAAAGACAACTAATTTTTAAGAGTTTCTCCCTTCCAGTTAATTATATTTCTTACAATAATCATATCAGTATCATTTTTATGTAAAAGGATACAATTTATATTCTACAACCTGTAGACAAAATTAATATCCAACATTAAGACAAAAACAGTTTTTTGGGTTGTTGTTTTTTTTTTTTTTAACCTTATGAAATACAAAACCCTCTTTTGAATTTCATGGTATATTGAACACATTCAATTTTCACTTTAATTCACTAATGCTCAGTTTTTATTTCAGCTATAATCTGGGTTTGGCTTGTCTTATTTTCTTCTTAGGATTCAGTGATGTGGAGAAAGGCTAAGGAAGATGTCAGACGTTAAATGCAATTAACGTAAAAAGCGTAGCTGATGAATCAGGATGGTATTTCTGAAGAGGATGATTCAACAAAGGCTAGCTGGTCACAATGACTAGAACTTAGTCACTCTGGGAGATCTCTTTGCTGAGACTGGTAGATGAAATGCCTTTCAGGGAGACCTTTCTGAAGGGCTGCAGTGTAGCCTTGGTGAAGCATGCCTTTTCAAGCACCAACTGTCATCAATCCATTTCAGAGGATGTGAGCTAAGTTTTCTTAGAATCTAGGTATCATGAAAAGTATTTACGAACTGAGTTCTTCAATAGGGGGTGCTTTTTGCTCAGTACTTGGAGTTCCAGAAAGTTACTTACTACTAAGGATTTTTTTTTTTTAATTTCAGTTCCTATAGTTGGATAATGAGAACAATGTTAATTATACCTCTTAAGGGAAATGTCAAGTGTTAACATTATGCCTTTCAAAGACAGTATAATAACAGACACACACCACAATCTTGACAAATACAGTTAATATAATTTTTATGAAGTTGTCTTATAATATTCCGAAAGTTCCATGGATTTTTTTTTTTTTGGAATGAATTGGATTTGGAATGAATTTGGATTTCATTTGGAATGAATGCTTAATTTCATTACACCATTCAATTTTATCTGCTTCCCAATCTATGTTGAAATTCTTATTCCCTGGGATCATCAGGCTCACTCCACAAGTACTCTTTAGTGTGTGATCACCGGGAAGCCTCCCACTCAGCTCTCCACAAGGGCACACACTGCCATATTCCCTTCACGGTCAGGCATCAGGGTGCCAAGAAGACTGACCAGTTCCCTCCACTTCTCTCCCTGTTCCTCCAGGTGTGTGTTTTCCCTTTCTGCCTCATCACTTTTTCAAAAACTCCCTTTGTTCTCACAATAGCCAATGAATAATGTTCTCACAGTTGGCCTGAAGCTGTACTACCATGCCCAGTGATGATAAATTCCATAGGCCAAATGGAAGTCCTTGAAAATGAAAGTTGTACTTATCTGAACAGAGTAGTGCTAAGAAACATGGCCAGCTTTGGAAAATAAGTACATTTTAGAGAGTCATTAGTGGGTATTGTATGTTTACCTCAGAAAATATTAGAATATCTCTGTGTGTACTTTTCAGTTCATTGGTACTATATCAGTTTTATTGCATTTATTTCCTTAATATCTTAGAAATATTCCTAGGCTTACAGGATATGATATTCAGTGTCAGTTGTCAACGTGAAAAATCTAGAGTGACAGGGAAATGGGCCTTTGGCTATGACTTTGGGAGGTTTTCTTTAAATGTACATAAAATTTTATTTTGTTAATTATGTTATATGTGTGTGTCTGTGTTCCAATTAAAACTGGGTGCCCTCGGAGGCCAGGAGAGGCTGTCAGCTTCCCCTAGAGCTAGAATAACAAAAGTCCTAAGCCACCCAAGGCAGGAGCTGGGAACCAAACGCTGGTCCTCCACAAAACCAGTTCATGATTTTAACCACTAAGCCATTCTGCACCTTCTTGACTTACACCTATTTTTATCGTGGGTGGAGATGTATTGCTGCAACAGATGTGTGGAGGTCAAAGGACACCTTGAGGAGATCGGTTCTCTCCTTCCACCATGTGTGTTCTAGGGATGGAAGTCAGGCCATCAAGCTTGGAAACAAGTGCATTTGCCCACTGAGCCATTTCCTTGTTCCTGGTGATTGTCTTCATTATGTTAATTGAGGTAGGAGGACCCCCTGCTGTGGGGCGGTGCACTCCCTAGCTAAAAGAGGACCCGGTAGCAGCATGCATCCATTCCTCTGTTTTCTGATGGTACATTCAATGTGACCAGTTGCTTCAAGGGCCTGCTACCCAACTTCCCCACCATGGTGGGTTGAAACATGAACTGGGAGCTAAAAATACGCCCCCTTCTCTCTTAAGTAGGTCCTGTCAGGGTACTTTATCACAGTAGAAAAAAGTGACTAAGACACAGGGGGACTGCTCGCCTCCATTAGAAAATGTCCGCGTCAACAAGTGACCTTGCTAGATGCATCGGTTGCCATGACTTAACTCTTGATTTTAAGGAAGAAGGGGCAGAGGTTATGCCCGGAAAAGAAAGAATGAATTAATGAAAGATGGGAGTGAGGAAGAGGGAAGGAAGGAATGAAGCAAAAGAGAGAAGGAAAGGAAAGAAACTGTATTTGTTGAAAGTTTGTGTTAATTCTTCGGACTTAATACTTTGTTAAATGTTCTTGAACTTTCTTTCATTTAAATATTTAAAGTAATTATGAGTAATTGTCATCTTCCACTTTATAGACTATAAAACCAGGACCTTAGAACATGGAGCTCTTCTGTGAGATCACAGACCTCTTAATGGGAGGGATAAGCATTGAATCAATATCTTATTAAAACAGACTTCTCTGTGCTTAATTCCTATTCTATGTTATAACACATCCTCTAAAAATGAAAGCAAATTTCCTTCTCAACATTAATTTTTGCAGGAGCGTCTACTAACTTTATTTGTGGGGTTTTGTTTTTCCTTTACCACTTGCCACAGATCGGCCATTGCAGTCTGTGAGTGATTAAGAGTCTAATTACCCTTATCCAAATGGAGAATGTGGATTAAGCTCAAGCTAAAGGCAATGCTGGAATAGAAAAATCTCCATTCCTCCAGGGTCCAGAGCAGGCAAGGGCCTCTCTGGGCATCCTTCCAGGCTCCTCAGCCTACAGAACTTGCTTCATCCATCCCACCGGCTCTCAGTGGGAGACTCCTTAGTTTTCACCTTACTCTTGTCCTCTGCTCAGTGGACTTGAAAATTAGAGACTTCCTTGCTCCCTGGTTCTTCCTGTGCCTAAGAAGCAGACTTGGAGTGGTTCTTTTCTTTTCTACTCATCAGAGCACAACCCACCAGTTACCCTGCCTTAGTTCAGCTCTTGGAACCCTGCCTGGGCCAAAAGGCTCTGCAAAACACTGAACTTTCTTAGTCTGTTTCTTCCCTCAATTGCAGAAACATACAGTGGGAAATTTGACATATACTACCTAATGCTAAAATTTACTTTAAAAGACATGAGACTCCATTCCTTCACTGACAATTATTTGAGAAATTTGACCTAATGTAACTTATGGGATAATTTTAGTAAATCATGTTTTTCCTACCTCATCTCCCACTGAAGACTAAGTAGAAATAATGGTTACTGGAGTAGAATGAATCTTCACTCATCATAGATTTCAAATCTTCTGATGGCCACTTCAATAATTATGTTTTAGTTTTCTGAGACTGTCAGGTATTAACCAAAATTCCTCTCTCCTTCTCAAATCACAGATGGACTGATTTCTCAGAATCCCTTGTAGATCACTGTAGTAGGGAGCTGGGGTCTCTGTACAAGTGTGCTTTGCTTATCTGTCTTCCTCATACTTTCCTGAGACAGAGCGAGCCACAGCCACCTTGAAAGACAGAAGGACCTTTGTCACCCTCCACAATGAATGGTTGCAGAGAGTTGGGTTACCTTTGATCTGGATTCCTCAGTTTGGTGTGTAGCTGGAAGAGCTATCAATATATTATTCCCTGAGATTATTGAGATCTCATTGTTATTATTATATAAAACCTGTGCTCTCTGAAGGAGCGTGCTTGTGTAGTTCAAGTTCTGCAGCTGGTGATATCACTTGCCAGAAGCCAAATACTTGCTCTTCTCTGGGACTCGCTGTCATCTTACACTCAATATAATCAATAACTTGCCAATGGTAAACTTTCTAAATAACGGTAGAACATAACAATATAAAGAAAATGAGTCCCTAAGTGTTCTAGCCAAAGTCAAATGAAGTTGAGTCTGTTGTAATCATGGTATGAACTATCTCAACATATGTTCTGTATATGGATAGAAAGAATAAAAGACTTAATTGTTGAACTATCTCAGCAAATGCTTTACAAAGGATTTTAAAATATTTATGTATAACTATAGCCCTGATGTCATAGTCATTAAGAACATATGGGGAACATTTACATTTTTCAATGCCACGTATGGAAAGTTTTGTATTTGCAAGCTTGATGATTCATCTATATGCAAAAACTGATCACCATGTTTTATATTCCTTCTAAATATTATTTGACTGCATGGACTCTGTGGGAAATTTACATCTCAATTGTCTAAGATTGTGTTATTAGATTACAACTTTTACAAATCTTGAACTGTAAATTTTCAGGATATAAAGAAGAGAAATTAATGCTATTTACCTGTTGAATAATAATTTCTTGTGACAAGTGGAAAGAATGACCTCAGATATCAGGTTCTAATTCTCCAAACTCATAAATGTCATTTTCTGTAGGAGAAAGGTCTTTTAGATGTGATTAAGTTAAAGGCGCTTGAGCAGGAAGCCCGGTTATCAGAGCAGGCTTAGCAGGTACACATGTCCATCTAAGAGGGGGGCACGTGGAGAATCAGCACACAGAAAGGAAAAATGTACATTGTGATTGCAGATACATAGCCAAGTAGCCATAAGTCAATAAATGCTGACCTTCACCAGATCCTCAAAGAGACAAGGGCCAGACTCTCCCTTGGATCCTGCAAAGGGAACATGGTATTGGTGACTCTTTGGTCTAGATCAATGGTCAATTTTGGGAGATCAATTTTGACTTCTATCTTTTAGAACTTTGAGAGGATACATTTCTGTTGCCTTTAACCTCACTTTGTGGAGATTTGTTCTGCAGTCACAGGAATTAATCCGATTCTATTTCCTGGTGGTTGACCTTTCCTTTTACTGGGCTTCTACATGATATTTTACCCCAAACCTTTGGAGACATAGGCGTGGCTTTTCTTACTCTTGGCCTAGAAAAGACAGATCTGTTTCCCAGTGTTCCTTAGGTTTGGAGGGTGGGTCTTTAAGGTTCTCAAGATGAGAGAGATCTCCCTTCCCCAGGTCAGTACAAAACATTGAAAACTAAGCTAGTGACACCAGTGAAGAACAAAATGACATTTTTTTAATCGATAGTTTACTTTGAAGGATGGCCTACAGAAGCTCTGATTTATAGATCTCCACCAACACTATACTTAACCCTGGACAACTCAGTCCTCTAAAACTTAGGGTCTCAAATAGCAGAGTGGAATAAAAGTTTTCTGTGGGTGCATAGCTCCCCCAAGAATAGTAAGATAAAGAGATTTAATAAAATGAAATGATCGCCTCTTCCCCTGAGGCCAGGGACATCAGGGCTAGATGCTAGTGAAAGCCCCTTCTCATGGAAGGCAGTTCAAGACAGCATGCAGACAATACATTTTTGAGGGCTGTCAGTCATTATGGACCAAGAGTAATACCTACCTATGGGCAGGGACAGTGACAGTGTGACCTTTGTAAGCTGAGACAAAGATAACCTGAAAAGTAGGTGACAAAGTCATAGCTGTTATCAATTCCAATCGGAACTCCAGACTTTGGATAGCATTCAGGATTTCAAATGACTCTAGGGAAACCTGACTAAATGCTGGTTTACATCCTGTGTTCACACATGGGCCTTTTGGCATATTCTACTGGCCTTTTTAATCTGCTAAAGGGACCTTCTGCTTTCTGCCACTCTGGACTATAAAATTATTTTCAGAAAGACTCTTGTTAGGTACCTGTGAGCCTACATCCAGCATCAGCACCAGGTACTGAGGGGAACATGGCTTGCTTTCCAAATGACTCTGACTTGAAAAGCAAACATTGTCGTGTTAAAAAAGCCTGCGACCTCAGCATCTCTCCGGAAACTGAGATGTTCTCAGCCTGTCTTGGTAGACTCCTCACTCTGCCTCCCCTTAGGTTGTTCTAGCAACCTTTTGTCATCTGTAATAAAAGTTGCTTTTGTTTCTCCACTGGAGCCGGTGTGGATCAAGTCATAACA